TGGAGATAATCATTACGCCAAATTCTCACACAATGTGCTTATTTATATTATATGATATTATGTAAATATAAAGTATGTTTTTGTAATATAATAAATTTCATGCTATAAAAAATATAAATGAAAAATATGTACATATACATATATATTATTATTTGAATTTTAAATGGGGTATGATTGACGACAGGATTGATGACAATAGGTATACAGTCATCAATGAATGTGTAAACGACATGAAGTGAATCTGTCGATAACGAAAAGTAGGGAGATTAGTCGCCGAAGTTGTCGTCAACGACAACTTCGCTTACCCTGTCGCCCAAGTTGTCGTGCATGAATACTGCGACACTTGTGTGAAAATTTCGTCAACGATTTCACATTGTTGTCTGCAAGGTGTCTTCAAGGAATTGCCATTGTCTTACAGGATTCGTTAATGTTGTCTGCAAGACACTTTCTACTGGGATGTCAAATAAATTCAAAATATATTCAAGTTTAATTGAAATGAAAACAAAATGTTTACCACGTTCGTCTGGAAGAAATTACTTTGTTATAGATGAAGCAAACATTTTATGGTATTCCCTACTGGATTTTGGGAAGAAATCTAACCTTTCATTCATTTTTCGCGTTTTTAGTTTTGTGTTGAAAAATGTCAAATAAACACAAACACTTGTTGCGAATATTTATTTTATTTTTGGCAGAAGAGGCCACATGTTCATAGTTGTTTTTTTGTTACTCACCTCAAGCTGCCCTACCTTGTATTATTGTACAATGGTATGAACGATTTGCTAAGTGAAATATGTTATAAAATATGTTATGTTTTGTTCTTGTACATTTGATCAAACTTCTTTTTTTCTCCTAGACGTCACTCAGAAGTAACGTCATAACGATATAATACAGACAACAATACTTTTGTTGTTGTAAACATACCAACTGTCGCCTTACCTGAGAGGGAGGGAGGAACTAACTCCCAAATGCTTGAAGGATCAACAATCACAAAACTTGAATATATTAATGTGGACCAGGGATGGAAAATTCAGTACAATAGTACTTTTTTCAGTACCGTTTTATCCAAAAAAGTACCGTAGTACTCCCTTGACCATTTCAGTACCATTCCAATCCTCCATTAAACCATGATATATATATATATATATATATATATTTTTTTTTTTTTTTGATTATAATTTGTTATGGATTTGACCGGCAAAAGTATTGCAGATAATGATGTTGATGTGATTGCAATATTCTTCTTAAAAAAATGAATGGGTTTGCGACTGATAACTGTTAGCTTCCTGCCAAACTTATAGATTTAAGCAGGATTAAGTTAATCAAAAATTACTATTTGAATAACTATTAATTAATGTCACTGAAATCTTAATATTGAGCTACAGCAAATTTGGACATATTTATATATATACATTATCTATACATTTCCCACAGACAAGCTAATTATTAGCTTCGTGGGATTTCAAATAAAATGTAAACTTTATAAATGATCTCAAATAAATAATAATAAAAAAAAAGAAAAAGTTATGATTAAAATTACAAACATTAAATTAATTTATCAGTTCCAATTCTTTTTAACCGGATATGTTTGTCAGATACTTAATTTGGCGTACTCTGTGCTATCTCCTGAGGTAGGCAAATTAATGGCATTCATAGTCGTCGTGATTACTTCAATAATAAGTGCTCTTGAACACTTTGGAACTGAAATTCATGTTAGTTTGGGGTATATTGACTTTCGGGAAAGACCATCAGAAAGATAGACTAAGTGATGATATCTTGAAAATCGATCTTTATGAAACTGAAAAAGTACTCTTTTATTAAAAAAGTACTCCTTTGGTACCTTTTCACATTTTTCATTTTCCATCCCTGGTGTGGACAGCCCTGATATAAATACATATGTTTTACGTTTGTGACGAATAACGTCGAACGAAATTTAGGTAGGTGTGTAAAAAAAATCGTGAATACCCCTTGTATTCACGACATCGACTTACGAATCCCTTACTTACTTAACACACAACTGTTTATGTCAAAGTACGTGATCTTAATGTTTCGATGTGTATTTTATTAAAATCTTCCAAAGTATTTACAAATGCTCTTTGTAATAGCAGAAATTACAATAACCAACTACGCAATTTTGTTACAAGCATCGTGAATAAATATAAAAAAGTGGAAGACATAATTATGGAACGCAGATGGACGCCTTTGCCCAATGCCCGTTTAGATACATGCCGTGAATATTGCTTGTTGTCATACAATATTTTGGCACAAGAATTGCTCACGGATAATATGTATCTCTACTATGACATCAATCAAAAATACCTTCGCTGGAAAAATAGAATTTCGTTATTGGGGCAAGAGATTAACCAACTTCGTCCAGATATATTTTGTTTGCAGGAAGTTCAACATATGCACCTCAAAGAAATCATAAATTTATTTTCTTCTAAAGACGAAGGTCATCTAAAGTTGGAGTACGTTTTTAAAAAAAGAACCGGTAGCCGTTGCGATGGATGTGTAATAATATTCGATAGAGAGAAGTTTAAGTTAATTGGCGAACGTTGTGTAGAGTACCACGCTGAAGGTCACTCAGTGTCTGACCGGGAAAACATTGCATTATTAGCAAAACTTGCACCTCGGGACGATCCTACAAAACCAATTATTGTTGCAACGACACATCTCCTGTACAATCCAAGACGTCACGATGTTCGTACTTATCAAATTAATAAACTAATAGCAGCCATTATTGATTTCGCAAAGGGGCCCGTAAGCAATGACATCCTTTGTCCCGTAATACTAACAGGCGATTTCAATTGCACCACTGATAGCTCTCCGTTTCGAAAATTAATTGCAGAGCGCCGGCTTGCATGCCATGAAGCATGCGATGAATATACAAGTTTTCAATTGGAACCAATTTTTTTCGGAACCGATACTGCCTCTACATTTCAAAATCATTGGATTACAGTAGATTACATTTTAAAGTCCTGTCCAGTGAATGGAGAACACACAATACGGATAAATAGTACATACAATTTGCCTAAATTGGAAACATGCCAAGCACTTGGAAAATTACCTAATAAATATATTGGATCTGATCATTTTTCATTAGCCATTAAATTCTCTATTGTTTAAGCACGTTTTATATTAAATGTTTTGTCGTGTAAAAATGGTTTTGTATCACTATAAGATTATTACCAGCAGTCTTTTAAGCCCCAAGTATTTCACGAATGGTTGTGTATATACACAATTCCTTTATATGATTTTAAAATGAAGCGTAAAAGTCTATTTTGAGTTATAGGCAGATAATGTGGTGCAGTTGATTTTTTCATAAACTAAAGCTAAGATTGGAATTATTTCAAAAAATGAGCATTTGTGGTTGAATCATTCATAAATGTCATTTTCTCCTTCAATGCGAGGGATTTTTCAAAGAATACTACATACAGTTAAACTACAAATATGTTAATGTAGTCAAAATGACTATTTTTCTAGTCATTCTATAAACATTACACGCACGTTTAAGGACAAATATATGGATTTTAAAACTTATTTTTTTTTATTATAACCATTCTCTGCGATTTTTTATTAGCTCCAAAAAACAAATGCTATGGGCTTGCTGAAAAAACTGAAATGGACTTCCAGAAATACAGTCAAATTTTAGTTTTTTTCTAAAATTTACAGTTTCTCGTGCCCTTTTTCTGAATTTCTCAAACACAAAATAGGGTAAACGCACCTAATTCCGGCATGTACCAATAGTCGGCATGTGTTTTAAATAACTTCAAGTAACCAAAAAATCCTATAACTAAATATGAAAAATACCTTGAATAATCTTCAATAACACTGCAACCTATATCTGTATAAAATTTAATCGAGCTAAGTACATTTATTCAATCAAAATTTAGCATTTGGTCAATGAGGTTTGTCAACACTAGCGAAAATTCATGTTTCTTAAGAAGAAATTAGTGGACATGTCGAGCTTAAAAAACTTGTAACTATATTAAATTTATATATTTTTCACAAGGATATTTTTTGTAATTGTAAAGAACATACAGGAGAACACTTAAGAATTTAAAATGATTAAAAAATATTTGTAATTATGATATTTTTATCGATGCCGTCCTTAGGAACAATTTTTTTTAAGTTGTTCCAATAGTCCGCACATGGGTGAATAATAAGCAACTTTTCGATAATTTTGGCTCAAATTTGGAAAAAAAAAATTAAAATAAGTGCTCTAAATACCGATTAATATATAAAAAATCAGTTTTGAGTGGTTTTACATAATGGAAGACATGGTTTTAATCATAAATTCGTTTAACCTCTGAAATGACTTACTTAGCCCTGCCGACAATTGGATAAAAGGTTCTCGAAGTCGGCACCATGTTTTATAATTGTAATATTTTAATAAATAAAATTATTTTATATATATATATATATATATATATATATTTTATACTAATGGAAACGTCCGATAATAATAATTTATTAATGAAAATAGCAGAAAAATGTATTAAGTAAATAATTTTTGTTTAAAATACGACATGCCGACTATTGGAACATGACATGCCGACAATTGGAAAAACGTGCCGACTATTGGCACAAAGGCACTATTTTACATAATTATCAATTAAATCTACTTTAAAACAAATTAATTAAACAAATTTTTATTGCATTTGGGAGTAAACAAAAATTGGAAACATATGAACCTAAATACAATATAGTGAAATAAATGCTCTCGGGATGGTGAAACGTTTAAATTACGAAAATCCTTAAAGTGCCGACTATTGGTGCACTTACCCTATACTGTCTTATGGCAAAATTTTGCCGATAATCGATAACAGCAAATAATATTTTGCTTATAATTTCGTTATTTACCAGAAATATTCGGTAAAAGTTAAAAATGGGAAAATCGAAAATAATTTCGATTAATTTGTAAACAGTTTTCACAATATATTCACAAGATTCTGTACGTCTACAATTCCACTTTACAACGATCAATAAGTGTAATTACTTACCCGGAATATTCGAATGGCTTGGTCATCGCTTGCTTCCAATTTGGCACGAATATTACTGAGGATGTAACCCATTTTGGAGAGTGACACGTCGTGGTCCAATTCCTCGTTATAAGATTTGTACGTTTTCTTTTCCTTATTATCAATAACATCTTGTATACATGAGTTGGAACCATTTAAAGGAAAATTAAGTTTGCGTTGGCTGGATCGTATGGGTTTTTTTGGAGGGGAATTAATATGGCGCGAAAAATCAAAATTTATATTTCCAGATTCATTTTCATTTGTCGTAATGTTTTGCGATTCACTACACGACAAAGACTGTGGCAAAGATGACTGAATGGGTGAATGATAGCTTCCTGGTGGCGACAACCGACTAAAATCGTCCTCTGTAGTTTGTACAGCAACAGTGCGGAAGGGCGTTTTGCGTATTTCAATATTAACACGCTCCTTATTGTCTTTTTTCGGCGACACTAATCGTAATATTTTTCTTGTCGAAGATTTCAAAATTTTTTTGGAATTAAAACCTGCATTGCCGCTGTGAGATATATTTTTCTTCTTAGACCAAGGCGAAAAATGTCGTAAATGTCCAGACCACACTCGTTTTGGCTTTACGTTACTTCCTTGAGCCATTTCACATTTAACTGGAGTATTTTTGATTTCTATATTTGAAGCCATATTGTTACGTGCAATTCCATCTACAGTATCTATTTCAAGTTTCGGGGGTGCATGCCAGCCTACACTATAAACAGTTTTTTGTGGCTCAGCCTGTGTGGATGTGCTGCGGAACATTTTGTCATTTGTGTTCAATTCATAACTTAACATTTCACGAATTCTTGAATCATTCCATCCGATTCGTTGTGACTTTATATTGTTGTCTTCTACTTTCCTAATATTTTTTTCGTTATTAGAAAAATGTTTGGAGTGAATAGTGTCTTCCAAATCAATTAACGAAGGGTATGTAGCTAATACCTGATTAGCATGACACAGCTGGTCTTCCGTACCTAATATGTTTATACATAAAAATAGAATAAAATATAAATGTGACTTACTAATTGTTATTATAATGTAGTGCTTTATTTATATGTAGTATAGTTATGCATATGAAAACAATATTTGTAAAATAAAACAAAAAAATAATTTGTAAGAAAAAAATAAAAAATAAATACTTTTAAATTATACTCCCACTTGTGACTTTGAAAAAAAAATTTATTTTGAAAATGTAACAGTTACATTTCTCAAGATCAGACTAACATTTGCTGAGATATGAAGTATAAAGATTGGGAAATTGAATTTCCAGAGTGGCTGTTAGATGGCTCTAAACGCTTAACATGCCTGAAAAACACTTGATCTGTATTTACGATAACATAATGTCAAGCGTTTTTATTTGTAAAAGGTCTCTATAATGCCAGAATGATTTGATATGATTTCATATTCGCTGGTTGGGGATTTTTAGCTGTTGGACATTTCTATATGGTATATTTTTTTTACGCCTCACTTTCCTCTCTTCGTAGGGATCGCGTACACACCATAATCCGCATCATGGTGGAATATGAGAAGGGAATAGAAAACCAGCTACAGAATTTACTCCAACATCCAGTTTATTATTAAGTTGCACTACTCATTTAAAAATACAATTATATTAGATTTTATCAGGGACCGAAAATAACAGTTATTTTTTAAAATGCGAACAAAAAAATCTTCATGTTAGAGACATGGGACACTAATAGTGTCATATACCAATAGATTCGTACTGAGGAGCCCATTGAGGATATTGAGTGATCTTGAGAAAACACTCTCAGTTCCCATGTTAAGGATTATTTTTTAACGGAAAAAATAAACGTTGATTTTTAACTGTTAAAAATGATTTTTATTTTTTCCGTCAAAAATAAAAGTTTTTTTGCGATTTTTATTTTTTCCGTCAAAAATAAAAGTCTTTTTGGGACTTTTATTTTTCCGTCAAAAATAACAGTCTTTTTGGGACTTTTATTTTTTCCGTCAAAAATAAAAGTCTTTTTGGGATTTTTATTTTTTCCGTCAGAAAATAAAAGTCCTTTTGGTATTTTTATTTTTTCCGTCAGGAAATAACTCTTTTTATGTAAAGAAGTTTATACAACTTGTAATCAGTTATAAAATTACAATTTATAAATCTCTGTCCTTATTACAATAAGTGTACACATAAGTAATCAAGATCAAAGGTAAAAAATATTTGTTATAAATTTTTTAAAAAATAGTCTAGTGTACCAAATCATGAATATAAATTAAAGAATCATTCCCTTGACTATTAGGTCTAAGGTTATATAACTGGTACCAAACTCTATATGTTTATTTACGTAAAAAGACTTTTATTTTCTGACGGAAAAAATAAAAATCACAAAAAGACTTTTATTTTGACGGAAAAAATAAAAGTCCCAAAAAGACTTTTATTTTTGACGGAAAAAATAAAAGTCCCAAAAAGACTGTTATTTTTGACGGAAAAAAATAAAAGTCCCAAAAAGACTTTTATTTTTGACGGAAAAAATAAAAATCCCAAAAAGACTTTTATTTTTGACGGAAAAAATAAAAATCATTTTTAACAGTTAAAAATCAACGTTTATTTTTTCCGTTAAAAATAATTAAAGTGGATTTTTTTTATTTAGGTCACATAATAACAGTTATTTTTTACCTGATTTGATATAAGTTATAACCGTTACGGTCCCGGGATTTTATAAGTTCAACATTCTTGCTAAAATCAACATTAGAGTACACAGAATTAAAATCAATACAAATTATACTGAGTGGATCTCCCATAGAATAATTTGTGCGATGAAAATCTACATATAATAGTTGATAATATCTACTAGATCGAAAAGGAACATTTATTCTAATAGATGAAATTAGGAAATCAGAGGGTATATTACCATTTAATATTTTTAGTACCATCATAGTGTTCAACATAATACGTCTACTTTTTAATGTAGGTAACGGAATTAATTTTAACCTGCTAGTGTAAGAAGGCAACACAAAATAACTATTCCAATGTAAACCTCTCAGTGCAAAAAGTAAGAATTGTTTCTGCACTGATTCGATTTTATCGGAATATATTGCTCCCATACAACAGGTCCATATTCTAATATAGGTCTAACAAGAGACGTGTATATTTGTTTTGTTATATAAGGATCCGAGAATTCTTTGGCCCACCGTTTTATAAAACATAATACACCGAAGGCTTTATTTACCATAGAAATAACATGATTGTTAAAGTTTAACTTTGGATCCATTAAAATACCAAGATCCACGAATGTTTCAACTGTCGATAAAACCGAACCGTTAATATTGTATTACCTCATCAATGAAGAATTTCTAGAAAAACACATATGTTTACATTTGTTCAAATTTAAATCCATACAATTTAATCTGCACCATTGAAAAAGGTTATTTAAATCATTTTGGAGTAAATTGGCTTGTTTCTCAGAACTATGGGTAATGAATAACTTGACATCATCTGCATACATTAACAATTTAGAATGTACTACAGAAGTTGGCAAATCATTTATATTCATATAACTGACTATATTTACCTAACGGATGCGACTTGTGCTTTTCCTTCTCCTGTTCATTGGCATTCTGCTTTGAAAGTGGTTGATCAACTTTGACATTTTTAGATGTATTATCTAATATTTGTCTATTGTATCCCCTTCTTACTAAAAAATCATCCAAAATACGCTCGGCTTCTCGTACTGATGATGATGATGAACAAATTGACTTCGACGACTTTTCTTCTGCGCTAAGTGAACATCTTGGAGGCTTTGGTGGCGGATCATTGTTTTCGCGCCGTTTATACTTGGCGTTTGAATTGGATAATCGCTTCTGTAATAGCCGACCACCTGCCTTATTTCGTTTTTCCATATTGTGTTTCTCTTTATTGTATGAATCATCTCTTGATATGCTATATAGTGGTGGTGCACTTGGTTGGTGCGATTCCAAGAGTATAGGTGACGAAACAGTATTTTGTTTTATGTGCATTTCCTGATTTCCTTTTTTGAAGCTTTCGCAGTTTGGTTTATAACTTCGATAACTAGAATTCAGTTTTTTCTTATTGATCCGTACCTCAGAAATAACACAATTATCGCGAAGTTCTTGTATTATATGTATAAGGGGGGCGTCTTTCCCTGTAGTTTCTAGGCGGCTAACTGCTGAAATTTGTGGGCAATTTGACACCCGAAGTTCATTTTGTTCCTGAGTATTGTCCAATTTTGTGTCTAAATGAATTTTATTTCTCTTATTCGTTTTAGCATTGGCAGGCTACATAAGGAAGAAAAAGCTTTAGAAATATGTTCAGTAATACTTACAATACAGTAATACTCACCATATCAAATTTCGCATTAATTTGAGCACATTTTGCTGAACCTTGTGCATATTTACGGTACATCGTTTCTCCAACACTTCCATCCCCACTGTCACTGGTAAAACAGTAACAGAATCCATCTTTACAAGGCTTACATTTGCGCTCTTGTTGTTTATTCGATAAATTTTGATTTATCAAATCCTTATCTGTTGTATTGTGTCCTTTCTGGCCGTTGCTTCGATTTTCCCCTTCTGGGCGACTGTGAGAAGATATTCGGCGAATTCTTCTAGCTCGGAATTCATTCATACATTCCTCTAAACTGAATGATGTACTAGTAGCACCATCACACTCACCCGTGTTGTCATCTGTGTCTGATGGCCACTTCGAATTACCACTGCGAATATCTTTCATGCTACTTTACATTAAAATTAGTGCACTAGAAAATAAACAAATGGTTTGTCTATCAAATTTATTTACAAATAATCAAAATACAGCTTATAATAAAAATATGAGGGGACCGACGTGGTCCGTGTTGATGGATGAAATTAAGCACATTATATTATTTGTACCTTTACTATAAATTTCATACGTACAATACCGCATCTAATCTATGTTTCGAGATCTCTCATCTTTTGATTTATAATATATTTTATTTTATAATAACTTTCAAAAAGCAATGACGGGTCGTGTCGCGTCCTTAGGCAAACAAAACAATCGAATGGCATCTTAAAGTAATTTTTGGAGCATTCACCAAAAAATGTGGACCCGCGAATTGAGCGGATCGCTTTTGTCCAAAGTTATTTATTACATGTATAAAGCGTACTTTACACCATTCGTCATAGTCATTTGTCATGAGAGTTTTTTTTCTCTCATTGGTAAAATGGGTGTAAAAGCACATTTACATAACATATTTATATTTTTATAAAAATAAAACGTTACCTAAATTCCAAAGGGGAGTACAAAAATAATCAACTTCCCCATGTTTTGTACGTCCGTATTACCCAAATACGTCGAATCCCCATCTCTTAGCGAACTAAAAAAATCACAAAACTAAATTAAAAAATTTGTAAAATGTATTTTTGTGTTTTGTTTCTATTTTTAACAAAAGAAAAAACAATAAAACGTTCCGTCATAGTTGATTTTTTTCAACTTTGAAAATCCGAACGTCGATGTACTTCGGTAACATTTATGGTTCAATTATACAAGATAGGTAGCTTTTGCCAGAAAGGAAAAAATAAACCTTATAAGGTATTATGAGCAACAATATCAGAATGAAAACAAATGCAACAAGTCGTTCTGTTCAATAGACATATTTTTAACATTTTGCCAAAAAAAAATTAATGGAATGTCAGGTTTTCTTTTCAAACTCGAGTTGGGGATATGATTTACATGTTGGTCCCAATTTATATTAGGCGAGTTTAATTGCGGCAAGTCTTTGTTTGAATGAGAGAGGGGCAAGGGGAATAGAAATTGAAAAAATTGCTCGTACCGGCAATTCGTTTTGTGAATTTTGTTTGTAGTGTCAGTAATTTGAAATACCAATCCAGAACATTGTCAAAAAAAATATTTTTGAAATGGAATTGCCTTGTATAGACGAATGAAGCAAGTTCAAAAGAGAACAATAAAAATTGCCGCAAGTAAACTCGCTTAATATAAATCAGGACTTGTTTCATTCACAAATCATACATTTCTTCATACAAATGTTGTAAAATTTATCTTCAGACAAATCGATTTTCAAACATATTTTGTTATATTTTTCAAAACTTTACGAAATCCGGTTAAATGTAAACGTACTATAAGAATATGAAATAATTGGACACATTTTATAATTTTTCAGGTATATTCTTCGATTTTTTTCCTATTTAAGTTATTGGCCCGCCTCCCGATTATCGAGTATAATAGCGCCACCACAGATTATGTAGACTTTGTCTACGAGCCTTCAAAATACATTCAATTTTAACACTGCTTTCCTTGGTTAATTGACCAAATCGTTAGGATAATTCCAATGATAATGAAATCCTCAACCGTTTGGATTCCATTGAACGACTCGGACTTTATAGGTTATCCGTATTCGAAAAAAACACGTGTTAGTTAAGCGAACGCTTAACAACCGTCATTTTGTAAAAATCTATTTTTAAGCCCGTGGGCGTATAATGCTTTTTTAAACTTTTTAGATCACGTCCTTCTTGTGAGCCGTCCGAAGACGAACTGATATTCTTCGATTTTGTTTAGCCCGCTAAGAGATATGGACTCGACGTATTTAGATAATACGGGCGTACAAAACATTTCGCCATAGTGGGGAAGATGAATATTTTTTTGTAAATTAGGTATCGTTGTTATAATTGATATTACCATGCATGGTATAATTATTACAAGGTAGGCACAGCTACCAACTGATTACAATTTTTTCTCAAGGTGGCTTGTTCCATCAAATCAAAATACATATTTTGTTTATGTATGTGTAATGTTTTGAATACAAGTCACATAAATTCGAAATAAATTGAAATATATTCAAATTTAATTGAAATGAAAATGAAGTTCTTAAACCGTTCGTCTGGAAGTAATTACTTTGTTATGGATGAATCAAACATTTTATGGTATTCCCAACTGGATTTTGTGAAGAAATCATAACATTTCACTCATTTTTCGCGTTTTTTAGTTTAGTGTTGAAAAAATTTCAACTAAACACAAACACTTGTTGCGTATATTTATTTTATTTTTGGCCGAAGAGGCCACACGTGCATAGCTGTTTTTTTGTTACTCACCTCAAGCTGCCCTACCTTGTATCATGGTATAATAGTTACAAGGTAGGGCTTGTTCCATCAAATCAAAATACATATTTTGTGTATGTATGTTTTTAATATTATGTCAAATAAATTCAAAATAAATTGAAATATATTCTAATTTAATAGAAATGAAAATTATGTTTTTAACATGTTAAACAAATATTTGAAAACAAATATATGTGAAACAAATATTTGATGGTATTCCCTACTGATCTTAGGAAGAAATCATATCCTTTCATTCATTTTTCGCCTTCTTAGTTTTGTGTCGAAAAATGCCAAATAAATACAAACACTTGTTGCGTATATTTATTTTATTTTTGGCAGAAGCCACAAACACAACCCATTAAACAAAATGAGCACAAAATGCAGCGTACTGATGGCGCAGCATCTCCAATCAATATTGACGTTTCAGATCTTGCACAGTGGTTATCGAACTATAACCCCCAAGATCAGAATAAATTTGGCATTTTAGGAGCATTAGGTGATATTGACATCGAGGTTCCCACTCCCGTCAGCAACACAAATCCCAACAAAGTCAAAGATGTTAACCCCAACGCACCAATCTTTGTTTTTAACGTAAACATTAAAGCTCTTGTGGAGACTTTGAAATCATCTATTCCAAATTTTGTCTTCAAAATCAGAAATATGAACAAAAATAAAAGCAAGCTATACTTTGCTGATCCGAAAGTACACGCATCAATGATGGCAATCTTGAAAGCCAAAAACATAAATTCTTATTCTTTTACTCCAAAAGAAGATAAAAAAGTATCATTGATTATTCGTGGCTTATATTCTTATTATAATGCCGAGGACAAAAAAGAAGAACTGGATAATTTGGTACCAAATACAGTAGCCAACGTTACAAAATTTAAAACAGCGGCCTCCACAAAAAATAACTTTGATACTGGTCTTTTCTTAGTATCATTACTTCCAGGGAAGAAATTTGGGGAAGTTACCCATATTCGTGAGCTACAATTCCAGTACATAACCTGGGAAAAGCCAAAGAAGAAGACAAATGACATTCAATGTCACAGGTGTCAGCGTTGGGGACACATTTCTTGCAATTGCAATTTCATGTACAACTGCATGAAATGCAATGAAAAACATCTTCCAGGGGAATGTAAAAGAAATCGCTCATATACATCTGAGCCGTATTGCGTCAACTGCAAACAAACCGGGTATCCCACAAACTGGAGGGGTTGTCCCTCATATAAAAGCTTTGCCACGGCGAGAAAGAAAATCATGGCCAAAGAAATACAGGATAAAGCAGCGGCGCAAAACAATGTCGCAAGAATCTTATTGAAGATTTTCTCAAGCTTGCCAATATGTTTTTGGAGCCTGAGGAACTCACATTGGAGCAAGAAGTCCAGATTTTCTTATAAGAACACAAAAACATGTCAAAGATTGAAGCAAAAAAACAATTTCTGATGCTTCTAAAAAAGTGAAATCTAATTATGGACCATAGATCACTAAAGTTTTTAACATTCAATGTGCGATCACTTGTGGATCGAAGTCGCCAGTTAGAGTTGAAGTAGATATTGCAACACAACAACATTGACATAGCATTCATCGAAGAATGTCACTTGAGATCCAACAGACGGGTAAAGTTAAGTGGCATGGTATAATAATAAAAGGTAACAGCAAGTGTTGTTGTACAAAAAAACGATACAACAACCACATGGAAATTTGTTGTTGTAAGTTCTACTATTGTCAACTCATTTGACAGAAAAATGTAAACAAACAAATTATAATCAAATTATTTTTATTTTGAAAATGAAATATTTTCGAATGCTCAAAATACAAATTGAAAAACATGAATGAAAATCTATCAAATTTTAAAGAAACTCGAAACAACAAGATTTACAATAATGTTGGCTACTCCTTGTTTAGGAACTACTTCCAGCTTATGATCTAGTCCATCAACTTGGGCAAGCGTGGGTAATGATCTTAAGCCTTCAGTGTTCGCTTAAACAAATTAGAGCCGGGTGGTCCAGGACTCGGAGTTAAGCGATTTTATTGAAATTTGATTGAGCTTAGGTACTAATTATGAGAAGCAAGATTCTTATCTAGTATTGGTTGTGTAAAAAGGTAGTGATATCAGTGATGTAGTTTTTGGTACTATTTACAAAATATTTACATAGTTAACCGTTAATTTCAAATGTTTAAAACAGAGTTGCATTTAAATATGGAAATCATAAGATCAATAAAACGTGTTTACACTATTGTAATTAAAATTGAATAAAAATAAAGCTGATCCGCTTCAGTCTCCCCCTCTGATGCTGAAATCGTCCCGATGATGCATCAGCAATAAAGGGTTGTGGAATCTGATAGATGATAAGTAGAGCTGGAGTGTGGATTCAGCAATGAAGATGGCGTTCTCGTAGTCATCATATCTTTCTGGGAGTTGGTACGTCAGGTATACTCCTTCTCCCCCTAGAACAGAACTGCAAACTCGGAACTGCATAATCTTCCAATAGCAGCTGCAACCCGTTTACTACGTCGGCGTCTGAGATGGACTCGATGTTTCTGGATGTCACAAATTCTTCAACTAGGCGGCATCTCTCTGCCCCCACAAACGCAAGTACAATGCGAAACGAACCCGTCCGGTTGTTGTTCGCCATTGCC